CTCTCCGTAGACGAGGGGGCCGTCGTTTGATGCTTTCATGGCCAACTTGGGAGACACAATGTGTAAAGACTCTTTCTTTCAGTTTAGTAATCAGGGAAAGTGCAATCAGAACAATCTTTCTGGGGCTAACATTTCTCACCAACTTCCAACAATCATACAGGGAGAAAAATCCATCATGGGAGAGGCGGAGAGAACAATTCCAGCTCCCACAGTAGCAGCAAATAGACCTGAATCCAGTACAGTCATACTGCAAGAGTGGGTTGAGGTTTGTCACTTCTCAACTAGTACAATGTATCCCCCTTCTCTTACAATCTCTATCACAATCAGTTTATTTTTATTTCACCTTTATTGAACCAGGATTGTCTATTGAGATCGAAATCTAAAAGCCAAAGTTGAACGAACACGAAAGGAGGAAATATGAATAAAAATAATATAAACCAGGGATTTTTTTGAGGCATTCTAGGAAATGCAGGAAACTGGCTGAAGCAGAGGTAAAACAACATGTGCTTTAGGGACATACACAAAATGCATTGAACATGACTCTACCGGCAGCACGTGTTTGCAGGTATCTGAAGGATTAGTGGAGCCGTGGCAGAGGGTAGACGAGGCTCCTGCTCCTCACAAACATCCAGCTGGATGACCCAGTTGGCACTAAGCACACAAACATGCTGTGTACACCTGTAACAAAGAGTTAATCTATAATGCAGCAAGAGCAGCGGGAGGCAGGGAGAAACATCCAGGCCGTGTTTCTAGACAGGAGGGAGGACTGCTCTGTGTGTGTGTGTGTGTGTGTGTGTGTGTGTGTGTGTGTGTGTGTGTGTGTGTGTGTGTGTGTGTGTGTGTGTGTGTGTGTGTGTGTGTGTGTGTGTGTGTGTGTGTGTGTGTGTGTGTGTGTGTGTGTGTGTGTGTGTGTGTGTGTGTGTGTGTGAGAAAGCGTAAAGTCTGGCACAATCTTCAGAATCTGATGTGAAGGTGATAGCCTGGAAATGTGTGAATGGTATTTGAAGCTGTTTGCTGTGTGTGTGTGTGTGTTTGTGTGTGTGTTTGTGGTCTTTCCGTCTCTAGTGTGACACCGAATGAAATGACAAGCTGCTGTAACCTTTAGCCTTTTACCATACTGTTGTTATTACAGAGAGAGCAAAGCCTTGCACAGATACTCTGCTGCCCTCTAGTGGCTGTTTCTTTACACTACATCCAATTCCATTCACTGGCAGGAGAGAGAGAGAGAGCGAGAGAGAGAGAGAGTGTGTGTGTGCATTCAAGGCCACAGTCTTTGCTTCTCTATTCATCTTGAATGCCTCACTTTTATCCCCGACCACCTTTCACTTTGTCTCTCTCCCCCTGTTTTCTTTCACCCTCGTTCTATCACTCTTTCATTTTCTTTTTTCTCCAAGTGTTCATTGTTGCCAGCTCATTAATTCTTAGCTACAGCTTTGAAAAAGGAAAAAGGTTCAAACGCAGAATCTCTGAAAGCCACATTCACAGCAGGAGAGCCTGAAAAATAAAATCTGATGCTACGTGGAGCGTGCACAGTCCTTTATAAGTCATGAACACACACACACACACGAGCGCACAGCCACACAGAGAGAGATTTGTCCGTGTGCCGGTGAGATAAGGAGCTCCTATCTTAATAAGTATCTTTCCAGATAACGGCTTAAGTCCGGCTCTGTGTAAAGACTGGCTTTATTAGACTCATTATGAAAGCTCATCTGAGCCTGGGAACTGAACACAAATAATATAAAAACATAGTGAAGAGGGTCGCAGGTCACCTCTGCTAACATTTACTCAGACGATCGTCTTGTAAATAAACCAGGATCCACAATTTAGGCAGCCTGCCTTCAGGAGAGAGAAGCTTAGTCTGGATATTAAATCATCACGGTGTGATAGATTCATCAGCTTTATTAATTCAACTTCCTCCGTTCTTGAAGATATGTAATCGCCCGAGTTCATTTGAATTATTTAAATTGGTTGTAATTTCATTCTGGGAATTGGTTTGACCCCTGCTATACTCAGCGCTATGTGTGAACTCATTTGATTATTGTGGATTCAAAGCTAATTAAATGACCCTTAATGGCAAACTAAGGGTCCATGGAGGTGGATTGTAGAGATTAGACTTGATATATCTATATATACATTTAACCAGGCAAGAAAACCGGCGATGACATTATATTTAGTTAGTTATACATTCATGTAAATTGTACTTCTTGAAGTAATGCCTGTATTTCCCCTCTAACATTAAATACATATAAATAGCCTTAAAGTGGGAATCCTTAAGATTTCAGTCCTGGTTGATTTAGAATTTATTTTCGAGTGAGAACAGTTATCTAAGATTAGAGTTTAGAAGTCCGGAGTCTACACATGACCTTCCATGTTTTCAGAATTGTGTGCCAAATTCCAAGAAAAACTGTGATAAAGATTTTTTCCAGGATGTCGCCACAGACACTACATTTACTGCAAATACAGAAATATTGCAATACTTTCATAAGTTGGTTATAGGCTCAGTCCCCATTGTGTTACACACATTTATTTCAAATCTTGGAGATTGCCGCCTTTAAACAGTTGCTAGCTCAAGATAGTTCCATTAGTTTAGTTAAATTTGCTGATTGGGTCGGGATGTGACGGCAGGGACGAGCAGTTTTAAGATTTCATCTTGAGTCTGTCAATTTGGTGCTTTTTTGACATTTTCTTAAATAAATTTAAGAGACTACGTGATAATGATCATAATACATTGTTGCAGCACTAATAGAAATAAAGAGCCATGCTGTCCCTTCTTGGTTAAAATGCTATTTTGAAGGATTTTCAAGCCAGACGTGTGATTCTAGAGAATTAAAAACACCAAACGGAGCTTTTCAGCATGATACGGTCCAAATTAAAATAAATTATTTAATATCTGCATCTTCAGTCTGCAAATGTCAGCATCAACCTCTAAAACCATCTCACTTGACCCGGAGAAAAGATCTGTCTCTCATGCCTTGAGCCCCCCCCCCCCCCCCTCCTCCTCCGCATCCTGTGAAAGGCAATAATGACTTTTTTATGGCTCTTATAACCAGCGAGAGTCTCCTGACAACCCGGCCCAGCAGGTGAGAGTGAAAGGCAGAGCACCACCGTGCTGCATTGGATTGCTAATGTCCTCCTGCCCGCCCGGAGGAGGACAGATTGGCTTGGGGGGGGGGGGGGGGGGACTATATTGCTCCTTTTTTGTTTTTATTACCATGACAAAGGGCCACACATACACATATGTCTCCTCTGGAGGAGATACAAGTTAAAGCCAGATTTAATGGATGTTTTAGCGATTCATTGTTGGAGAGTTCATTGTTCAAAGGAATAACCGAGGTTTTAACAGACTGCGAGAGTTCACACAAAGCACAGGACAAAAAAAGGGACATGTCTTGTTTGGTGTTCTGAGTGATCCTCATGGATTCAACTCATGCGCTTTATCATTTTGTGCTTGTATCTGTCGCAGTTGTCAAGTGAAAGTCTCATTTTCAAAACGGAAAGCCTTCAGAAAGCGTCAAAAAGTGTTCTTTTTGTCAAAATGAAATCAAGCCTTTTTTTTCGTTTCCTGAAAGCTGACACTTTGGAGATAAGAGGTTTTCACCCAACAGCGACCACACGTGTGTTACAATCAGCATCGGACAGGAGGAAGCCCGTGTTGCTGTTGATAAGAGCGACAAAACGCACTCTCTCAGGGAGAGATGGTCGTCCTGCAGATTCATCATGGCGGGGTTGATACCAACAGAGGCTTCACTCACAGGCAGACTATGCGGTCAGATGGTGAGATAGCAGCAGACCTGAAGGCTGTGGCTTTTATCTGAGGGTGAGGAGTCGGGTGCTCCCCCAGCAGCCACCTGAGCTGCTTTTCACAGGGAAATGGCACAAAAAACCCACTGGCCTGGGCCTGTGCCGTGTTTGTTGAAGGATTCTTTTACAGATATTGAAAGATTTGTTGGGTTTCTACATCCAACTTTACTCCAGGATGCGTGTTGGTTCATGTTTTAGTTGAAACATTGGTTTAATTGTTATTTTTTGAAATATATATGAACAACTGTAGCTGTGATAGCTGTTTTTTCAAAAAGTGGAGCTTTTGAATGTAACTGAGACACTTCTTCCTGTTGTAAAGGATTTTACCTGCTAGCTTAAACTTCTTTTTTTTATGTGATTAAAAAATGCAATGATTTTTTTACTTGAAAAAATAATCAGAAAGCTCGTATGAAAAAGTAAAGCTTGTACAGTAGCGATATTACACTTTGATCTCAAAGAGTAAATGTTATGTTGCAAAGAAAACCTGTTCTTATTCAGCCAATGTCGAGATTCAGGGTTTTGTTTTGTTGGATGGCAGGAAAGTAAAATCACAAAACACATTTTGTTATCAATAACTCACTCAGCTGCTGGAGGAATTTCAAAGAGGTTTTAAAGTGTCACGTCTACCTTTTGAGTTTTTCATATGCTGTTCGATATCTTCTCAAAAAACTACAAATTCAAGAGAAAATGTGCCAGTTTTTGCATTTACACCGTGAAAGGCTCGTTGTTTTTTGAGGATGTTCATGATCATATGGCAGTTGGCTCCAGTTGTAATGACCTCATCTCTGCCTAATGCGTCTCGATCAGATTCCACTTCCTGTGCGGTTGTCCCCTCGCCTTCCTGTGTGAGGTAATTTCTGAGAACGTAACCATATTAATTAAGGGCCGGGCATCTGCTTCTCCTGAGTCAACGTCCTTCCATTGATTTCTCCCCCCCCCCCCAAGGTGCCCTCCTCTCCTCAGTTTCTCTCCTTGTCTCCTTCCCTTTGCGTTAGTTGTCACAGGGAGCCACTTGGCGCAGACAAACGGGTCATTGTGAGCGGCGCCCCCTGGGGAATTAGCGGTTAGACTAACGCAATCAGCTCCATCTCTGTCTGGAAACAGAAGGCAGTGTGGAAAAAAGGAGGAGAGGCCAGGAGGTAGAGGTCAGCGGGGCTGAAGTCACCCTCCCCAGAGGCCCGTGTCCCGGGTCAACCAGGACCGAGAGGCAGGTTGGATGAGCTCTGTGGAGCCAGCAGAGAGACGATGACGCCTGCTGGTCAGGTTTTGATACAACAGCTGAAAAACACAGAAATATGATGTACCGCTTATTAACTATGTACGTTTTATTACAATTTGGGTCTTGTGTTTATAGATTTGGTAATTTTTCCTGCCAGTTATCAGCGTTTCCTCACCATCGATCGTGAAAAGATTGGGTGTCATGGCGACATTTGGAGAAGCAACATGAGCGGTCACGTTCAGACAGACCGATGTAAACAAACCCTCATTTTAATGTTCTGTATAACCAATTTATTTAGAAGAGAAAACCGCAATGCATGTTGAAACGACTACCCAAGATGTCTCTATAAACTTACATTTATTTCACCTGCCATAGCTACTGTAGCTGTGCATGCACGTTTTACGATACAAAGTAAACTTTTTAGGGCTCTTATCACCTAGATGTACAGCAGACTACCATATAAAACCTTGATATAACACCCTATAGTTAATAGTTCACACTATGCTTCTTCCCGCTGCGGAGGTTCTGAGCTGTGCTCAGAGTTTGATGTGACTCTTCAGTGTAAACAGACACGGATACAGCTACGAAATATCTCTTGGCTTTCCGTCAGCTCTGTGGTGAAGAAAAGATGACAGAGTGGATTTTCTCATCTCAGCTTCACGGAGCATTTTTATGATTTCAACCTGGCTCAACAAGGCGTGTGTGTGTGTGTGTGTGTGTGTGTGTGTTGTTCTGCATGTTTGCACTCGCTCAGTTGACACAGTCGGCCTCTAAGCTTCCCTGATAAGTGTTGAATTAGAAGATGGGACTGTTAATCTGCCATCCACAAAGCTTTTCAGTCACTCTAAACACATCAAGTCTCTCCCACACATCATCACACACATCATCACACACACACACCCTAACACACATACACACATACACCCTAACACACTAACAAAGTGCATACAAGACAAACATATTTAATGAAAAATTACATCTCAACCATCTGCCTGAAAAATGAATGTGCTGCATCATAAATACTGGATAAAAACCCTGAGACAAGAGCTTTAGTTTAAACCCATTTTATTTGATGTTTCTACAACACTTTGAGTTAATGTGTCCAAAACATAAAGAAGTAAAGAAACATTTGATATATTAACTCAAAAATGTCAATCAAGTTGCTAATAGATTTCTTAAGTTTTGGATATATTAACTCCCTTTGACTTTATTTTATTCTGAAAACATTTTAAAGGTGTTCACCTACAACTGTGGCACCTTTACTGTATCTGAAGATACAACAACATGAAGCACTGATTGTTTAAATGTTGATTAATTGATAAGGTGGCCTCTGCTGGAAATAAATTGAAAAATTATATATTTAAATCACAGATGGTTTCTGTTCAGGTGACATTGACTAAACTGTCTAAGTAATATATTTGTATTCATGTTACCTGCTTAGTTGATAACTTTTTATTGCACATGTGAAGTGAAACAGTTTTACAAATGTGACACCAGACAATTCGTCATCTTTAATGTGCTTCTATACCACATCATGTAAAGATGTAGAAGAGAAGAAGTCAATAAAAAGACAGATAAAGTAGTCAGTCTACCTCCACAGCAGACCCCTGTCCCATTGCTTTTGTGCATGTCTCTCTACCCCCAGCGAAGTCCATATGTCCCTCACCCCCATCCCTCACCCAGACCGGGAGCAGCCAGGCAGCAGGGCAACCCCAACCACCACCATCCCCCCAATCTTCCTCCCCAGCCTCGAGAGCTCTGAGGTGGGGGTCCCTCAAAACAAAAGGCCCTCCCTGGCGGGGTGATTCCCCCCATTGTCCCTGACACACTGAGGTTTATCTGGGACTGTGAAAGGAACCATACTCAGCCCATTCACTGGGGCTGCACTTAATGAGCTTGTTGAAGGCCTGTGCTAAAACTGTTAAACACAAACACTAAATGCTGACATACTCTCTTCTTGTAGAGCCAGAATGTCATTAAATCAATGCTAGTCAGGAGCAATGGGGGACTGTGTGGTAGGCTGAGTGGAAGGGTTTCCTTCTGTGGTGTGTGAAATATAGAAAAAGTGCTGCATGTGTGATACAAATATTTTGATTTCCACCTGTAATGGCAACCTGCAAAATCCACTTTATATTGTTTAATTCACATTTTGGGTGTCATTTGCTTATTGATGCAGTGATTCAGCCATCACTAGCGCCGCGGCTCTAGTGATGGCAAAGTCAGTTTGTCCACCACTTTGGGACATACGATGGGTTGCCATTACAGTTTTTTTGTGAAATGTCTCTGCAACTGTTTGATCGATTGCTTTGAAATTTGGTACCGATATTCATGGTGCTGAGAGGATGATCACCATCAGGTGAAATACCTGAAAAACTAATGACAGTCCAATCAGCATGCAATCAGCATCAGCTGTACTTTTAGTTTACTGCTGATTAGCAGATGTTAGCATGCTAACCACTAAAATGAGATGGTGACCATGGTAAACATTACACTTGGGCTGCAGTCCAATAGTTTTTTTTTGATAGGAAAGTTCTTAACTGATTGAAATGCATCAAAGTATCTCAGTGGTAGCCCTGATAACAGCAGGTTGATCTCTAAGTGCAAAGGAAAGGAGATTTGATGCTTCATTACTTATCTCCTTTAGCAAAGGAAACAAGATCATTTTGTCCCACAATTCCTTGCAGAAGCAACATTTAAGGCGATGCGTCATTCGTCTCTCATCAACATCCACTGTAGCTGTTTTATTGTACACTACGGATAAATTGAAAACATCCTTCATCACTTTACTCACTTTTTTTTTTTTTTTAAGAAACATCCGCCGTTGCATAGTGTGCAGTGGGATTCTCTTAGCATGCAGATGTCTTTTCCTACATCTTTACAAATTCTCCTTCACGTGACGTTTTCCATTGAGGTCTATCCACTATCAGTTAGTGTAGGTTTCATTGTGACTTCCTCCTCGTTTGATATTCTGTTGATGAAGTCTGAGATTCTTTCAGTGAATCTTTTTTTTTTCCTTTTTGTTTTGTCTGCGGTGGCTATCGTACATGCAGACATTTGCAACTGAAATGCACTGCAAACCACAAGTCCAAGCGTCAACCATCGTTGACACACAATGCTCACACATGTGCCCTACAAAGCAACAAGCCGGTCTTAGCGTGTTGTTCATGACATTCAGGTTAAATTCACTGACAGTGGAACACTTTGACGTGCATTTCAGCTGCAAACGTCTCTTTTTTTTTAAACATAAAATGCATAATTTTCCTCCAGACAAAGAGTGTAAAAAAACATCACATGTCGTTACTTTATGCTGTCTACATGGCTTCAGTCTTATTGTTGTATCGTGAAGCTTAAAGTGTTTTTGTAGTGCCTGCTGGAAGTGATCATGCATCCCCCCTACTGTGGGAACTTTCTATAAATCTTGGGCCTTTCCCAAAATTCAAATTCGGCTTGTAATTTGTGGTTGGTGGTGGGGTGTGTGTGTGTGTATACAGGGGCTTGGATCACGCTCAACGATGTGTGCTACGGACTTGCTTCCACGCACACTCACACATACAGTACATAAATGCTTAGGTTAGGTCCCCGTTGTACACATGAACATAAATACACACAAGCAGCTGCTGTAATGTGATGTGGGTGACGGCTGATCAGAGACCGGACTGCTCCGTCTCTGGTCGGGGAAAATAAAACCCTTCTTTTTTTTTTTTTAACAGACAGCAGAGGAGCTGGTTTAAGAAATAATAAATAGAAAAGAGACGGTTAGCGTTGAGTTCTGCGTGGTTTGGCCCCTGAGCTCTGCACTTCCCACTCTTTAGTCCCTCATCTGTTATCAAGGGTGCACTGATCCTCCCTTTTTTTCCCGCACTTTTATTTTTTCATAGAGGGGCTCGACTCTCGGGGGAAGGGTGCAAGAAGGTTAAGAGGTCTGTTCTTTTCTCTTCCTTTCTCCTCCGCATAGGACCGATGGTCCATTGAAGACCAATAGCACACTGTGTTGCCGTGGGCAAAAGAGGAGGGGAAGGGGGGGGAATCTCCTCCTCCTCTTCCTCCTCCTCCTCCTCCTCCTCTCGGTGCATTTGGTTTGGCTGTCTCTCACAGCCGCAGCAGAGGCCGCAGAGCTCCTCTTGCCTTTCGCCTCCTGCGTTTGTTTTTCCCTCCTCCGTGTCCCAGAGTGGGTGGAGAGAAGCTGGAGGCGCTGAGCTCACCCCCCCCCCCTCAGGCACACAGAGACCTGCTGGGGCTCGAGCAAGCAGCAGCTCTCCCATTTCCCCTGGATCTACATGGTGCACTCATTCAGGACATTTTGCTCAAACCTGCAACCTCCTTCTTGGATTCAGTTTTTTCCCCATGTGGATTTTTTTTTTTGTGTTCAGCTGCAGCTCTGTGGGGTCCAGCTGTAGTCTATACCTGGTTCTGATGGCTTACATTTGGGCCTGGCTGGCCAACCAACAGTCCTCCTCAGTGTGAGGCAGGTGTCTCCGAGGAAGGAAGCTGCAAGAAGCAACATGAGTTTGATGTTGTGCCGCTGGGAGCAGAACAATTTCACCATGAAACTGGTAGGCTGAACACTTCCAGGTCACCACACAGGTCAAACACCAGGGGGCAGTTAAAGAAATGCATCTTAGTTATTTTCTGTGTATATACAATTTTGAATCGCAGGCAGTTTTTCTGTTGTTGACAGTCCTTTTATCAATACAGTGTTCACATCTTTATCCTGCCTTTCTTGCTTGACGCTGCAGCTTCAGGACATGTCTCACTTAGATTTTTTATTTTCCCACTGTGTGTTTATGTACCGGTGAAAATGCTTGTCTCATCAGCCCAAAGCCTTACAGTAGCTGTGGTGTTGGATTAGCAGCGGCCGTTTTAATATCATAGGAAAGTGCTGAAGGCGTGCGTCCCGGTTTTCCCCCTCACCTGATACTAGCCTCACTTTGATGTCTGCATGGAAACTTAAAATAGACTTTGCGAAAAATTCAACCAGAGTTTTGGGGCACATTCGTGTGTTTCTGTGTGTGCATTCTGCTATTAAGCATTTATAAGAAAAAGGGCAGTCTTCGGTTCTGCTTTGTTGCCTGCTGTTTGATGTGATATGAGCACCAACAGAGATGGTAAATATTCAGCAGGATCTGGGACGCTGTGATAAAACACAGGGCCGGTCAGGTGCAGAATGGTCGCGTGGGGCAACAAATGAGGAAAAAAAAGATCTTTGGAATGGCTGTGTGATAAAAGTAGGAAGCAGCAGATTTAATAAAAGTCAGTTTGTATAATGAGCACCCTGTTGAGTTTGCACATAACACAGATGGATGGGACACTCTCTCTTTCTTTCTCTCTCTCTCTCTTTCTTTCTGCCATCGTCCTTATCTGGATCTGCCGGGTCCACAGAGGAAGGGGAGATGGAAGCAGAGGAGGTTATTACCCAAGTCTAGAGATGAGCCGATAAGAAGGCTAGTTTAATTACACACCGCTAACCTCCACACAGCATGACTGACGGGATGCCGGTGGGCTACAGGGTCAGTGTGTGTGTGTGTGTGTGTGTGTGTGTGTGTGTGTGTGTGTGTGTG